TTCTTGTCAGAGCAGTGGCAGCGTGATCTGGTGGGGGATTTTATATTATCCCCTCTGTCATTGTCAGACCACTCCCTGGTGGCCGTGAGATTCTCCGATGCTGACCCCCTCCGCAGGGAGGCGGGACCTATTCAAATGGTCTGCCCCCGGCGATTGATGGACCCGCATGGGTTCCAAAGGGAGCTGGGTTGTTCCTGAGGCCTTGCTGCATGGTCCAGGGGAGGCCCTGGCTGCAGCCTGGAATAAGGAGGTGACTGGAGCCTTGGACAGGATCATGCCTGTGCGGCCTCTCTTGGCCCATCGCCCCTGGCACTCCCTGTGGTTTACGGAGGAGTTAAGGGAGCTGAAAAGGGCTAAGACGTCTAGAGCACCGCTGGCGGAAAACTAAAGATGAGTCCGACTGAACACAGGTTAGAGCCGCTATTAAGGCCTACCTAGTGGCAGTAAGGGTGGTGAAATGCCAGTATTTCGCTCTTATTGCATCCTTAGAGTGTCACCCGGCAGCCCTGTTTAGGTCACTCGGTCCCTCCTGGGTAGGGAGGGCTCAGAGGACTATTTACAGGGCCATGCAGAGGAATTTGCTGAACACCTGACAGATAAAATTGCTCAGATCCATTCTCAGTTGGAGGCCAAGCATGTGGCGGGTGCAGTGGAGTTGCCCAGGGAACGTTCTTACCCAGTTATCTGGGAACGGTTTGATCCTGTGGCCCTAAGGAAGTGGACAGGGTCCTTGGGGCTGTTAGTGCGGCAACCTGTATTTTAGATCCTTGTCCCTCCTGGTTAGTTAAAGCCACCAAGGAGGTGACCTTAAGGTGGATACTGGCGGTGGTCAATTCATCCATGCAGGAGGGGGTGTTCCTGAAGCCTTTCAAGGAGGCTTTGGTCTGCCCCCTCCTCAAGAAACTATCACTAGATCCCACCCTTCTGGACAATTTTCATCCAGTCTCCCACCTCCCCTTCCTAGGAAAGGTGGTAGAAAAGGTGATCGCGCGGCAGCTTCAGAGGATACTGGGGGAAACGAATTATCTGGACCCCTATCACTCAGGGTTCAGGCCTGGTTATGGAACAGAAACAGCATTGGTCGCACTTTTGGATGATCTCTGGTGAGAGCAGGATGGGGGTAGTGCATCCATCCTTGCTCTTCTTGACCTCTCGGCGGCTTTCGATATCATCGACCATGGTATCCTTTTGGGTCAGCTGCAGGAGTTGGGGCTGAGTGGCACAGTGTTGTGCTGGTTCAGCTCCTTCCTCCAAGGCCGAACCCAATCAGTGTTGATAGGGAGCAAGAAGTCCAGCCCCCGGCCCCTACTGTGTGGGGTGCCA